CCCCTGCCGTTCCTATAGAAATTAACCTAAATTTATATTAGGCTCAAAAGTAAAGTACCCTTTTGCAAAAGCAGAATCAATAGTTACTTCTGCAATAACACTAACATAATTTGTACCACTAAAATATGAAATTTCAGATTTTGTACCCCTACCGTTCCTATAGAAAATAACCTAAATTCATATTAGGCTTAAGAGTAAAGTACCCTTTTGCACGAGCAGAAATAATATTTACTTTTGCAATGAAAGTAACATAATTTGTACCACTAAAATATAAAATTTCAGATTTTGTACCCCTGCCGTTCCTATAGAAATTAATCTAAATTCATATTGGGCTCAAGAGTAAAGTACCCTTTTGCACAAGCAGAATCAGTAGTTACTCCTGCAATAAAAGTAACATAATTTGTGCCACTAAAATATGAAATTTCAGATTTTGTACCCCTGCCGTTCCTATAGAAACTAACCTACATTCATGTTTGGCTCAAGAGTAAAGTACCCTTTTGCACAAGCAGAATTAGTAGTTACTTCTGCAATAAAAAAAGCATAATTTGTACCACTAAAATATGAAATTTCAGATTTTGTACCCCTGCTGTTCCTATAGAAATTAACCTAAATTCATATTAGGCTCAAGAGTAAAGTACCCTTTTGCACGAGCAGAATCGATAGTTACTCCTGCAATGAAAGTAACATAATTTGTACCACTAAAATATAAAATTTCAGATTTTGTTCCCCTGCCGTTCCTATAGAAACTAACCTAAATTCATATTAGGCTCAAGAGTAAAGTACCCTTTTGCACGAGCACGAAAATGTATATTTTAACGGTACAAATTATGTTGTGTTTTATGCAAAAATTGCAATAGATTCTTTTTCTGGAAAAAGTCTCTTTATTTTTAATTATAACCGATTTGGATTAATTTAAAAGTTATTTCAGGCAGTTTGATTAACTAAATTAGTTTTTTTAATGGTACATATTGGTACAAAATCAGTCCTTTTTAATTGTACCTTTGTATTTTTTAATGTGGTCCTGCCAGCCTAATATTGAACTAGAAGTCTTGTGTTTTTTTTTTTTTGTAAACGGTACATAGTACGAAAAATTTATTGGTGATACAAATTGGTACAAATTTAGTTCTTTTTAATTCTACTTTTGTTTTATTTTTTATTTTATTTTTTTAATGTGGTCCTGCTAGCTTAATATTAAACTAGAAGCACCATGTGTTTTTTATACACCGTACATAGTACAAAAAATTGATTGGTGGTACTAATTGGTACAAATTCAGTTCGTCTTAATTCTACCTTTGTTTTATTTTTTATTTTATTTTTTTAATGTGGTCCTGCTAGCTTAATAATAACCTAGCAGCGCCACGTTTTTTTTGAAAACGGCACATGGTACAAAATTTTTATTGGTGGTACAAATTAGTACAAAATAGGTACTAAATAATGTAATAGATTTTAATCGATTCTGCTCAGTTGGTCCTGCTAGCTTAAGAGAGGTATTAAATTCTTAATAATCTACTATTATTACAAAAAGTAACCTAATTTTATCTACTGTTATCAGAACAAATGACCTGAATATATTTACTGTCATTACAGAGAGTAACCTGCTATTATTTACTATTATCACAAAACAGTGTAGAAAAATATTCGATTGTAAAGTCATAAGTTAAATTAAAATTTCAATACCTACTATTATCACAAACAATAAACGATACAAGTTTATTATCAATTAGAGTGTGTCCAACGATGTCATTAATCATTCAATTATTCAATAAAGGATAAAAATAAAACTGTCGTCAGAAAACAGTTTTGTTATACCTATAAGCAACAGTAGTATAAACATTATCTACTGCAAAAAAAAATATTTTAAGTAACTAGATATCAAGTTTTAATGTATATCTATTTTCATTTAAAATTTCTTTACCTTAAGCCTATAAAAAAAAGGCCAATAACAACAACTTTCGCAAAGAAATTATTACACACTAGAAATTAAAATGGTAAAGAAGAAACGAACTTTTACCAGTAGATATCATAAAAATTACTAAAAATGTTCGTTCAATACCTAACTATTTAGCAGTGAAAAAATCGTAGAAATAAAATACGTATTAATTTTCGACATTAAGGCAATTACTTACCGTTTTCAATGACACAATAACTTTATTGTTGATATGACGGGAGAATTGCTTAACAAAACAAAAACTTTGTAGATTCAATTGATGAATTTCTGGCTAAACCATCTATACAACACGTTCTTAATGCGAAGAATGCTGTGTCGACTTTTTTTGAATGTTTATTATGAGGTTTAGTTATCGGTGCACTTTGTTTTTGAATTTACTAGAAAATATAATATAGATGTGATCTTTACGGCACATAAACAAAGACTAAAGCAAAGTGTTGAGATGAGCGGATTGGTGAAGAAGGGAATATATCAAATAGTTCCAGCTTTCAACTATGTGGTCGAATAGAAGCATATACAGCAGGGGGTGACAATATATCTTACTTACTTACTCTCTCTCTGTAGTACTTATCTATAATCTGACTGCTGTCTAACAGTCACACTTCCGATTCTGATACCGTGGTGACAAGATTGAAATGGCGGTCTCAGAATCGGGAGCCACGTGTGTGTGTGTTTCAATTATATTACTTGAGGGTATCCGATGAGCAAAAGCAAACCATACTCTCCCGTTTGGATAGCTAGGTAAATTGTCCTGTAGGATATAGCCCAAAAAAGGAAGAAGAAGAAAAAGAAAAAGAAGAACAAATATAAATATAGCCCCATTTATTATTAGCATAAATTATTGTTTAGTGTTTGTGAAAAGGTGTTTAGAATAGCCACGAAAATTAAATAATGAACTCCGTTAACGAAATGTGCTATTTGTAAAGTTTATTTATTGTCGAGTGCTTGTGAAAATTACCACAAGAAAGATGGATATTAAAAATAAATTTTAGCATAAATATTACAATTTGCACAAAGAAGGAATCATAAAACGAGTTTACCTTTGCCTATTTGCAAAGGATAAAAGACTCTCAAGTTCCACGCATACGCTATAGCGGGGGAAACGATGGATTTCCGTAAAATCTGTTTCATAGATTTGATAAGAAATTTTCCGCTGTACAACTTTGCTTTGAAGGAACGCCTAATATTGTATATATGTATATATAGTACCTACATCCTATCATTCTCATCTCTGCGCATTTTAATATTTTGTCAAAAGAAGTCAAAACCTTCATTGTTATCTGGATCTCTATGCTGGTCTAATAATTTTGTCTTAAAAATTGAAAAATATGTAATTTTTCGTCGCAAGAATGCTTGCTTCATAATATTTTTTAGGAACTTTTTTATAGTAGGCTCCGAAAAAACGTACTTGCAGGCAGCAACATATATTACATGTTATGTTATATTAGGTATGGGGTATTAATACACTACGAACCAAAAGATCTAATGCAGCAAGGAAATAATCTCAATGCCTCTAAAGACCCTTTAAATCCTAACTTCTTAAGGAAGTAAAGTATTTAAAGTAGCTTTGTTAGATAGATCGCCCGCTTCTATTTGGTATGCTCCTAAGTATAGTGCCCTTGGATTCTGGAGTGCTACTTTTGCTCATAATGTACTCACCATATTCGGCTACTTTCAGTTTACTAAGGTAATCTTTGAGTTGTAATGCACAGTAAAGGTCCCTGTTGCTATACGGTTTTTAGGCAAATGCACGCTTTCGATCTATTCTGGTTATATTTACCCAGAAGTATCTTACTATGTCTTAGTTCTAATAGATTCTTCCAATTATTGATTATCCTTCTGCTCAATTCTTTTTTAATCTCTCCTAATATTGTATTATTGATGATACCCTAGAACAGATCTGCTCTTCGAAAGGGTATTTGAGTCTCTTTCCACGCGAGAATATTTGCAATGTCGTTACCCTTTACCCCGGGCCCAAGGGAGAGTAACTGTATTTTCCTTGACCAGCTCATTCAGTTTTCTAGGCATCTACAGCTTTTTCAGTTTATTTCCCTGCACCATAGGCGTATTGGTCTTGGTATATTGGCCTCTGAACCAATGTCCCGTCTCTAATATGCCTATTTAGCAGTTTTTTTTCAAAGTCCTAACTACAAAGGACATAAGACTTATTGGTCTTAGGGACTTTGTTGTTTCCCGTTCTATTTTCCCAGGTCTGTCTAGTCATAGTCAAGTATTTGTTTGCTGCAGTGTTGTCAGGAAAACTTAAGAGCTTTGGAGTGAGGGTAGCCATATGTGAGTAGTAGGGATTAAGTGTAAAGGTTAAAGAAAAGGTCCTTTATTTCTCACAAGTCAATTTATTGGCCAATAAATTGACTTGTGAGAAATAAAGGACCTTTTCTTTAACCTTTACACTTAACTTAAGAGCTCCCTGGCAACTCTGCAGTTTCTTGTTTCATCCCAACCTATGAGGTGGTAAACGGTAAATGACTATTTGAAAGTCTACCACCTTTTTTATTATTACTATCATAGATTGGCATACGATTTATAAGGCATTTCTTTCTCCTTTTGACCGGTGCCTAATTAATTTTTTTTAATATTTCTTGTTTTCTGACATTACTACCATCTTTCTTTGTCTCATTTTAACTTTAAATCCTAAAAGAGCTTTCTACACATTACCAACTTTTTAACTTTTTAAAGGAACTCTATAACTTATTTGGACCATCCTTTAACGGTCCAACATTTATACCAAAAAATCATCCCATTGTAATGACAGTACTAAATTAGTTATGTTAAACAGTTTTTTGTTTAAAAATTTTAAGGTCAATAAATTTAATTGTATGCCTAATAATAGATAGTCAATGACCATAACTAGTTTCAGTTTAATTTAATAAAAATATTTGGTGTGGTTGACTTCATGTACACCCTTTCTTTATGGGTTGTACCACATTTATGACTTGGTTAATCTTCCTAATTTCATGGCAATATATTTTAAAATTTTGAAACGCACAGCATTGATCGACAATAGAATAAATAACCTTTTTATATTTTTTAGTTAACCTAATTAGCATCAACACAGGAGCTGTTTTTTCATGGACATCCCCAACAATACCAAAACTGTACAGCAATAACACCGATATAAATCCTCTAGGACAACCAATCACAACTTCGGAAGAATCTTTATTAGCATCTCTACAAACTGCTGGAGCTATAATAGGAACTATAACCGGAGGCATGATGGCTGAAAGCTTGGGTAGAAAAATAACTTTAGTTATTAACAGCCTATGTTTTGTTGTATCTTATGTAATATTCATATTATCAACTAATATTAAATATTATTATGTTGGTAGGTCGTTAACAGGCTTAGGTGCCGGTGCTATTTTATCTGTATTACCTAGTTATGTTGGAGAAATTTCTGAAAATTCAAATCGGGGAAGGACGGGATCCCTTCAAGGAATAATGGGCGGTATAGGGCACTTAATGTGTTTTGGAATTGGTCCTTTAGTAACTATTTCAACGTTTTCTTATATCCAGTTAATACCTGCAGTTATTTTTCTTTTTGTTTTCACTATTTTTATACCCGAAAGTCCATACTATTTTCTTGCTAAAAATGATGATGCTAACGCACTAAGAAGTCTAAAAAAACTACGCAAGGGTTCAAATGATTACAAGGAATTGTTATATTTAAAAGAAGTTGTTAATGAAAAGAAAAACACCAAAATGAATTGGAGTGAATTGGCTTTACCAGCTACTAGAAATGGACTCATAGTATCTTGTGGGATACTAATATTGCAGACATTTACAGGCATTCCTATAATATTGTTCTATTTGCAACCTATCTTAGACGCAAGTGGCAATGTTATTCCATCAAATTTAGCTTCACTTATCATAGGCTTAGTGCAAATTTTTTCTTCTATATTTTCAGGATTCTTAATTGATCGTGTAGGTAGAAAAATACTGCTAAATATATCATCAACAGGTTGCTCCGTATCACTGGCATCTTTAGGTTTATACTTTTTCCTTAAAGAACGGAATTGCAATCTGGATTCAATATATTGGTTACCATTAGCAAGTTTGATTATTTTTTATTTTCTTTTCAACATAGGTTACGGTCCCATTCCATGGGCGATAGGTGGTGAATTATTTGCTAGTAATGTTAAATCAGTATGTGTTAGTATTTACGGTTTTATAGGACTTCTTGTTAATTTGGCAGTAGCTGCAAGTTTTCCGTTTGTTAGAGAAATTTTTGGATTAAGCAATGTTTTCTTTGTCTTTAGCGGTTTGGCAGCATCTGCATCTCTTTTCGTTTGCTTGGTTGTTCCAGAAACGAAAGGAAAAAGTTTTGAAGAAATACAAAATGATCTTAGTGGTGGAAAACAAAATAAATAGTTGAAATTTGTTTAAATGTGTTTCATTTTCAAATCCAAAAGTAACATATTATATAAAGTTTACCACACTTATTTGCTTTGGTAAGTTTGCTGCTAAAGTCTTTTCAGAATATAGTTTGTACAATAGAAAGTCTATAATACACTCTTACCTCATCTTTTGTAAACTATGGCCTAAACTGAATATGCAATAGACAATTAGCAATATAGGGTTAAATGACACAAAAGTTTCAATTGTCACCCAACATTTATTGTTTTTGTAAATTCTGAAGAGCAGAATACTAAATTTATACAAATTTTATCCAAAATTTAATGTATTATGTAAATTCTGCCGAGCAAGATACTAAATATAATATATTGTTAGGAATTTGGATATAGAAAAAAAAAAACAAACACTAAAACTCTAATTGTAACCAGCGGCAAATACAATCCGAGCATTTCGGTGATCGTATCAAGACTGACTGATCCCTATACGATCGGTAGCGGCTAGAGACATTCAGAGTTTAATAAATGAAGAGTCATCTTTTTTTATTGGAATAATTATACAAGAATTAATAATCAGAACTGAAATAATTTAAAAAAAATTAATATTGAGAACAGTGGATCTAACAATATATAATTGTTACCCAAATCTTAATGTTAATGTAAATTAACAACCTATTTTCTAATGTTTATGGTTTGTAACGTGATACTTGTTATTTTATCTATTTGTTATAGTGTTTTAAGCTCAATTGATTTTGGGAGTGGGTCAGGTTATTAAATAACTCGTATTACCTTGAAAAAGAAGTTGGGCACCACTATATTTAAAACTTATTATACTTGACTATAGATAGTGATAAAAATATAAAAAATCACTAACCATTAAGATTTTTTATTTAAACCAAGTTTTAGATAAGGCAGTAACAAATTCTAATTCACAGAGATTTACTTAATTTAGATTTAGATGAAAAAATTAAAACTTATCCGATATAACAGGAGTTATATTAGGGTGATTTGTATGGAATTCTAGGCCTTCTTCAAAGGGATTCTTATTCTGGACTCGAACGATCTTCTATAGGTGAACCAAACCTCGGTCTTCGAATGGCACCAAACTCTTATAAACGACAAATGACATTTGAGTAGAGATGTTTGTGTCAAAATCACGAAAACGGTTCCAACCGTTACAGGTTGAGGGTCAATTTCTTTAACTGCGACTAACTATTCACTATCTATCATGGGAACCAAAGGCTAAATTATATACAAATGTTACCCAAAATCATATACTCGTAAAAGAAAGCTCAGGTGCTATAGTTATATTCGGAACTCTCAATAAATAAATCCTGAACAACCTTGTACTGAGTAAATGAGTAAACTTGCAGCCACTTTAGTAGCCAACATTGATATGAGTTATTTTAAGTTTTTAAATAAGCAGAGGCAATTGCCCTACGAGGTTTTTCAAATCGTTATATTAAAAAAATTCCATATGGATCCAACTTTATGGAACCCAGTATACAACATCAGTAAAAACTACTTTTTTGATGGCCATTTAAAAGGAAGAAAATTTTTAAATTTTTGAAGAAAGGTTTCTGAAACCTTGTAGAAGATATTCCTTTGGATACAAGACAAAAAATATTTCTGCAGCTAGATGGTGCTCGCACCCATTTTTCGCATAATGTCATATTATTTAAACCAAATATAAAACGTATTCGTGATGCGTTTGCTATTATTAATTTAGAGATTTTAAGAAATGTAAAAAAAAATTATTATGTACATTTACAATAATGGGCATCATTTTGAACATTTATTGTAAATTTGAAATTTATTGACTAATTTTGGAATATTTAATGGTTTTGTAAAAATAAAACTATAAGTAGATGTATCAAATTTTTTGAAACTATTGACAATGGGTTTAAAAATAGTAGATATGGGTTTAGGGAACCATATAGAACTTTTAAAGTAAATAAAATTTTCTTCATATTGTTACCATAAAATACATGATGTTCCATTTAAATTTACGCAGTAATTAAATAAAACATTTTACTGTAATACTCGAAACACCTACGTACATTTTTTGATTTTTGAATATTTTAATAGTTCTGATAAAAAATTACAAAATTTTGTAAGGAACTGCCAAAAATTCGTTAATTATTTATTTTAAAATCAAGAGTAATTAATTAATTTTGACAGCATTACATTTTTAATAAATGTCAAATAAATCTGAAATTATCAAAGATAGGTATAGGACATATTTATTAAAGTAAAATTATTTTTAATATTTGACCTTAAAATTGAAAGAAAATATAACTTTATACTAGTATTCTGGTTTGAGACACCCTGTATATATAAAACTAATTATAATTTGTAGCTGCCGTCGAGTTGTATATTTGTGCTGAAGCAATTTTTAATATCGTTTGTAGATAACCCACCAGGCTCCGTCCCGTTGGGCATGGCGCACCTTGTATATACAGGGTAGCTGTTAAAGATGGAACCAAACCTGTAGTGATTAAACGGTTCAACATACACAACCCAAAATTTCAACTAAATATATTTGCGCATATTTTAGCCCAAATATTATTTTTTTATAATTTCAAAATTTTAAGTATGGTCGCCATCTTGATTTTTTTAAATAGCAACATAGGTCATGTCCTTTCTGTTGTGTTTAGACCCCATGTGTGATACATTTTTGTAATCAGGGTGTTAAACCCTTTCAAATGGTATAGGCATGACCTATGTTGCTATTTAAAAAAAATCAAGATGGCGGCCATGCATAAAATTTTGTAATTACAAAAAAAATAATTGTTGGGCTAAAATATGTTCAAATATATTTAGTTAAAATTCTGAAATTTTGAGTATTGTATGTTGAACCGTTTAAGCACTATACGTTTGGTTCCATCTTTAACAGCTACCCCGTATATTCTTTCTGTCTTATTTATTGTTTTTCATATATTTAAATTTTTACGTTTTGTACTTGTTTTATACCTAAAAAGATCAATAAAGTACTAATAACAAATAAAAGTACATTGTTTTATTTCCAACATGTTACGCCTCTGGTCAAATAGCATTGCTGTCAGAATGGAACATGATTTCCTGCTACGGGTCCTTTATTTATACAGGTCATCGACGCATTATTTATTTTTTCCTTTAGTATCCCGTCAGTAACCAGAATACTCCTCATTCCAATAACTCAAACTCGCACTAGGATCAGCTTCAAATATCCAGAATCGACCGACACGATTGTTCTTTCATACACAGAGGAACAGTATACAGGGTGAGTCATAAGTAATGGGTCAAATTGTAACTGTAGATTCGGAAGGGAAAAACAAAAATATTTTACTTACTCTGAGATCGCTCCTTTCTGATCTAAAGTTGGAACAAAAGTATATTTTTGTTAATAAAGAAGCCATTTTTTGAGATACAGGCTTAAAAATTGGAGTAGTTCTATTTTTTATAGGGGCAAACAAGATTATATTATTAGATTTGAGTTATCTCGAAGATGTCGCCACATACGCCATATTGAAGAGAAGAAAAGCATAAAATTTTTTATCCCTCATTAATTAACAATTTACGTATTAAATTTAGAAAGGCTAATTATTTTTTGTATAAAAAAGTTATACTTCTTTGATCTTTAAAATATTAACCGTTTTCGAGATATTTGAAAGTTTGTAATTCACCACCTGGTCGCCGGATCATGGTAACCACAAAATATAATATTCCTCTTATTGAAATCAATTCATGAAAAACGTTTAAGTGATAATTAATATCATATTCTTATATCTCTACGTAAGCCAAAAATAGTATACAGGGTGTTTTAAAACGTTGGTCGTTCCTAAAATTTATTTTATTTTGAAATAGTTTGTATTTATTTTATAAAAATATTAGATTGTAATGAAACAAAAATTAGGAAACAATAATACAAAATTAGTTGTTTATTTTAACGAAACGTATGCTGCTTAACAGACCAATAATAAAGAGAACAAATTCTGGTACTTTAACCGAAAAATAAAGACAAAATTATAAAACACTTGAACAAGAACCATAACAACATTACATAACTAAAACGAATTTACCTAAAACTTATATCCCACAATATCCTGAGATATTTTTAACATTCCACTTAAAATACAAAATTCTACAAAAGATTTTCAACATGGCCACCACCAACTCTTATACACCTCTGTACCCGTTTACTTAAGCATCATCTGATCTTAAAAATATGGCGTTATTATTTCTAATTGAATCAGCAGTATCTACAATTCTATTCAATAACTCGTCTCTGGAATTTTTAGACTGGGAATAAAAAATTGCTTCCATAAAAATCCAGTGGTTTAAAGTCGGGGCTGCGAGGTGGCCATTGAAATTCAATACCACGACCAATCCAACGGTAAGGGAAAGTTTGATTTAGGTAATCACGTACAACCAGTGAAAAATGTGAAGGTGCACCATCCTGCATGAACCACATTTTTTTTCTTGATTGTAATGGAAGATCATCCAAAATATCATTTAAGTCATTGGTTAAAAAGTTTAAATATGATTCAGCATTTAAGTTGGGAGGTAATTCAAATAGACCCAGCAATGTATCTCCTATTAAACCGCACCAGACATTTATTTTAAATTCGTACTGGAAATGTCTTTCTTTATTTACAGGAGGGTTTTTAGTTTTCCAGGCATGACTATTCTGCCAATTAAAAACTCCGCGTCTGGTGAATGTTGCTTCATCAGTAAAAAAAAATATTTAGAAATGTTCAGTTTATTCTGTTTCCTTCTTAGCCACTGACAAAACTCAACTCTGGCAGGATATATCTCGAAAACGGTTAATATTTTAAAGATCAAAGTAGTATAACTTTTTAATACAAAAATGATAAGCCTTTCTAAATTTAATACCTAAATTATTAATTAATGAGGGACAAAAAATTTTAATCTGTTTTCTTGTTTTCAATATGGCGTATGTGGCGAGATCTACGAGATATCTTGAATTTAATAACATAGTCTTGTTTGCCCCTATAAAAAATGGAACTACCTTAATTT